GGGGGGGAGCTCTCGTGGGGGAGCTCTCGTGGCTAAGAGGTTAAGATGTTCGCTTCTCATTCAATAGACCCTGTGTTCGAATCCGGATAGCGACGGAAAAAAATGTTCTTCTCTAAAAAAAATTTCCTTTCACCTCCTTTCCTGCTCCTATGAACTTTTGCAGTTGCGAGCAGCGTACGTTTACTGCCTTTTATGGTTAAATTAATGGTTTAAAAAAAACACCAAAGGTTATGGCCAAGAAACGAGGATTCATTAACTGGCTTTATAGTATATCCTCAGAATTAGTCGCCTTAACGTTTAATTAATGGGACATTGGGGCTTGCGGTAAGGGGACGGGCTCCTGTGGAATAAGGCAGTCGGGGCGGGCTGGCGTGAGAGTGGTGCGTTTTCAGAACCTGGGTCATTGACGCAAACTCTTTTGGTGGTAGGCTGTTAATCTGGCCCTTCGGTTTATAACTCTTAAACGTCAAAAGAAGCCCCACTCTGGATTATTATTCAAGGCCCAATGGCATGCGACGAAATTGCAGCAAACATATTATTATGACGTATCTGAAACTACTATGACGAAATTTGAACGGCCATGATCAAATCTAAAACAATTAGCCGTTTGCTGCTAATAACGTTATTTCTGAAACACTATCTGGTCCAAAGTATAAGGTTTGGAATCTTGGATAGACAAGTAATTATGATTCTCTGCATTTAAAAGGGAAAACGTGTGAGAGCAAGAAGTGAAATAATTAACTAGAAAGAGCCCCCTACCTTAGTCTAAGGTAGTTCTAGTTTGACTTCCTTTTTTGTTATCCTACGTTTTTAAAATTCTTTCATTCCTCAATTGAGCAACACTAGGCATAATACATAATTATTATAACCCAGAGAGGCTTCGCAGGTGGTTGGAGGGTACCACTGGTAGGTCCTACTTCTTTACTTTCCCACTGTTGTTTCAGTCTGTCTGTTTTACTTTTTCATAGCACGAAATATCCATTATTGTGTCGATGTGCTTCTAGTTACTCAAGCAAACTTCCTTTCCAGAGTTACTTGACCTATTACACGCGTCCAGGGTTTTTACTCTCTGTGTGTGGGTGGTTGGCGGGTGCTCTTGTTTGGTTTGCTCCTTCTTTCCTATCTAACATCTATTGTCCTGATCTCTCCTCCTTCTTTTTTGTGTTTGTTTCTCTCTTGTAACACCTCTAATCGTCGGCACTTATATGATCTTATTGTGTTTGTTTCTCTCTTGTAACACCTCTAATCGTCGGCACTTATATGATCTTATTGTGTTGCAAGGGCCGCAAAGCTCTTACTAAAACTAAACTTACTCTCTTTGCGACCAACTTGATGGTAGCCATAATATCGAGCACGAAAGACGATTTTAAACTTATTTTATGAAAGGAGACCTCAACTAGGCGTCTTCTGTACCACAATGCACAATGTATAATTGTGGGTTCTGTTTACAATGGTTTGGAGTAACAACAGTGTATTTCGTTTTTCAGTTCAAGCAAAACAATATTTCTGCTATTGTGGATCTGTCGTCGCGTTTTGAAAATTTCAGTAAAATATCATAGGCTCGTGACGTTTACGTGTTGGTGGTTTAAGGGTGCCCCTGGAAGGCTCTGCTTCTGAACCCTCCGTCTGTCGTTTCCACCTCTCAGTCTCGATGTTGCGGGTGGTTGCAGGGCGTCAGTGACTGGTTCTTCTTCTTTACTTTCCCTCTGTTGTTTCTGTCTGTCTGTCTGTCTTACTTTTTGCCAGCACTAAATGACCATTGTTGTGTCGGTGTGCTTCTCTTTACTCAAACAAGCAAACAAGTCTCGATGTTCCTTAACCATAAAAGGGTGGGTGGTTGGACGTAGCTTCTGGTGGGCCCTACTTTTTTTCTGTCCCTCTGTTGATTGTGTATATCAATCTTGCTTTTTCCTTGTACTAAATGACCGTTATCATTTCGATATGCTGTCCCCCCCCCCTCCCTTATTTAAATAAACAAACAGCACACACACAAAAACTTATTATGCCGATGCCCTTCTCTTTACTCAAACTAATCTGAACTCATTTTGTGACTGTGGACGTGCCTGTCTTCACACCAGCAGGTTCACAGGTGGTTTGAAGCCGCCGCTGGTAGGCTGAAGTTCTTGTCTTTCCCTCTATTGTTTCTGTCTGCCTTTCTCCCTATTTCCAGTGCTCTAAATCACGTTATCTTGTCGATGTGCTCCTCTGACCTCTTAATCTTTGCTCCTTCATGGACAAATCAGCTCAAATTGTGTACTTTTGTAACCCACTTTCATTAGCCCCGCCTCCCCCCAAAAAACAAAAACAAAAACAAAAACAAAACAACAACACAACAAAACAACACCAACCTAACAACCCCCCC